TGGTGTACTGTACAGTTATCCTGCATTCCTCTCACGCTACTACAGTATATACTTTGCTTCCTAGCATGGAGAATCCTTATCCTGTTCTCTTTGGATTCTCCCTCTGCTAGGTGAGCAGCCCTCTCATGTACTGTAGTTAGTCTTATTCATTATCTTTGGATTCTCCCTCTGCTAGGCTTGCACTGTGCGGCCATCTTGAGGTTGCCCTTACACTTAGTTCATGGCTGCACAACATTGAATATGTTCTCCCTTTCACATGACCACCCAACCATTCAATCAATACTGGCCGGGCTCATGCCCCCTTCCAGTCCACTCAAATGGTGATCATGTGCCAGATTACATCATTCCCAACAGTCCTTGCTCTGGAAGCAAGGCCCCCACACGATGTATTAATTGACCTTGAATCTTGAACATATAAGGCCCACCACCATGACGATTTACTGACTCATCTATCTTGCAACACAAAGATGACATTGCCAAAGCATTATTGTAACATTGTATATTCTCACGAAAATGCTTGGAGATAGGATCACCATCCCTTAACAAACTCAAAAGTTCAATAGGGGGCACTTCAAGATTTGCAAGTTCAATCTTCCCCTGAAAGCAACACATGCCAAATTTATGGTTGACTCTGGTAGAGCCAGATAGCTTCTCATCCTTCCAGTGAAGGGCATGACAATGATTACACAAAATATCCATTTCCCCCAATGTATGCACAGGCCATTGGTCAGAAAAGGGCTGTCATGCCAAATGTATTGGTGCAGCCCTAATTCTCTGTGGCTGGCCTTGTGCAGGGGGTAAAGGTAGTGCTGGAGGAACCACCAGTGAATTATTCTGCTCCTCCAGCTGCTGTGGTTGTGGTGGTAGCTGTGGTGTATTTGATGGGAGAATAGGAGGAAATGCAGATGGCTGAGGTGGTGGACTACTCTGCCGATGCTGCCGTCCATAACCACAGCCATGACCATGACCACGACCACGACCACGACCACGACTATGACCACGTGCAGGCAACAGTGGAGGTAAATTTGCCAGCTGTTGAGCAAGTGCTGGTGGCAAATGCTGATATAGCTGTGCTGGTGGCAAAGGAGGCACAGAGCCAAATACATCATGTTGATGTTCCACCACCGGAGACACAGGTGGCTGAGCCATGCCCCTCAAGTTAAGGGGCAACAATGGGGCTCTGTCAGGAGTCCAACAATGTTCAGAACTCTCAAGAGTGCGTCCTTCACGCTCATGGCATTGAGCAGAGACACGTGCTTGCTCTGGAGTGCGAGGTGGAGTCTGAGAGATGTTCCTAACAGATGTGTTAATTGAATCCAAACACCAAAGTGTGAAATCACATACATTATTCAAGTTGAATAAAAACTCAAATACTAAGATAATAGGATTGAGACAGAGATTGATTAATATCAACTACTTTCCCAAATAGTAGCCTAAGCCCAGCTGGAAGTAATCCTGATGCGAGGAAGTTCATCGAAAAATTAGAAAATTAGAAGATTCTGTTATGCAATATACATATATAGCAATACTCACATTTGAACTCCCAACACCTCAAGTTCACTCAAGAGAACTGGGTTGATGGCAGAAAGGACTGAGGCAAGGGAAAGGAGTAGTAGAAGAAAGAAATCAATACTATATTATAGAACAGCTTTGTACCAATACTCACCTTTTCAGAGTATACAAAATCCATTCAGAAATGCGTAAAATCAATGCAGAAAGAGCTGAAAGCAAGTAAAAAGGGCAAAATAGGGGTCAAATAATCAGTACAATTTTGTAGCAATACTCACCTTCTCAAAACTCAAAAAATGCGAAAAATAGCCTCAAAATAGGGCAGAATAAGAGAGGAATGCCTGAAGTACTATATTTAGTCAATTCTCAGGCTAACCTGAAGTATAAATGGGGGAAATACCTTTACAACACCAAAATAATCCAATAATCCACCTTCCTGGTAGTGAGAAGGAGAAGAGGAACCCAAAGAAAGAGAGGAAGGCCAGGGGAAGCAGTGAAACAGATGAGGCAGCAATTTGTCCATGTTTGGTCCAAGAACCGTTGCAAAGTCAAAGTCAAGCGCTGAAACAGGTGCTGCTTTTTGATTACATAACATTAAACTTGATTACATAACATTTTGGGCCTTTATGTTTTAATAATATAGATTACCATATTGCTAGCCATTAAATTGTGGGAATACAACAAATATAAGCAAAAAAAATCAAAATATCCCAACAGAGTAAACATTCAGTAATATCTAAGTAATTACATCAGGGATATGTGAGATAATATTTAAAATAATTTCTTCATTTCTCTGCAATCAATATATTGAAGATATCCTGTAAGGCATTGAGAATATATTCAGCAATGTAAGTCACAATTTAATCAGGCCATGAGGCTCAGTGATATCTGGATGGAGCACCTGACGGTTCACCACGTCTCCATGTGACGCCCACGTGGTGCCATGTGGTCAAGTGGTTGTCACGTGGTCTTCACGTGGTATTTATGTGATCAGAAAGTGGATTTCGGTTTGGCAGAAATGGCTGGAAAATACCACTTTTTGACCACTTTTTGCCACTATTTTACCATGTGAACACCAGAGGACAAAAGTGGGCAAGTGGTATTCATGTGGTAGCCATGTGGTACTTATATGAATTTCCATGTGGATACCACTTTAATACCATGTGGGTGCCACATATGGCAAATAGTGATATTCATCTGGTATAAATGTGGTTGCCATATGGGCAAAATGTGGATTTCAGTAGTTTAACTGATTTTATGGAGTATATAAATACTCCTATTATTTTTTATGATCTTCTATGAGCACCTGACGATCCACCACATCTTCGGTTGGACCCCAGGTGGAACCAGGTGGGTGGGTGGCATTCATCTGGTGTTCACCTGGACTCACCTGGCATTCAAGTGGCAAAAAGGTGGATTTTGGTTTGGCTGTAATGGCCCAGAAATGCCACTTTTTTACCACTTTTGGCCACTTTTTTACCAGGTGGACACTAGGTGAGCCATACTGGATGAGTGGTATCCATGTGATGTCCATGTGGTATTCACTTGAATTTCCACCTGAACACCACATGAATGCCACCCATATACCAGGTAGACAAAGTGCTAGTATTGAGGTGGGGTTCATCTGGCATTCATGTGGACATCACATGGCAATGTCATTGCCAATATGTTATTTTGTAGTGCTGTTATGATTTTATCTTATTTTATTGTATTTTCTATGATTTTCTATGAATTTTTAGCAATTTATTTGAGTTTCTTTGGCATTTTCTGGTGTAATTTCCGCTTTGGGACAGCCAGAAATGGATTAGCAACAGTTATCTAAAGATAAGTCATTTTCCTCAGACGGGCGCTTATTTGGCGCTTATTGACGATTATTAATATTCTTTTTCTTTTTCTTTTCTTTTTCTTTTTCTTTTTGTGAACGGGCGCCTATTTTCGGCAATCAGCGCGACGCCACGCGCATGTGACTGCTGTGCCACGCTGGCACACGACGCCTCTTCTTCTCAACCACCACCATCCCCAATCCCCCTGCCTTCCCCCCAACAACCCACCACAGCAATATGCCCCCATGCAAGCCCACTTCGACGCAGTGCAAGAACAAGGAGGAGGGGACCACAATGTGAGTGTGTCCCCTAGTTTTTTCTTTTTTTTTTCACTGACACTGCCCCCACTTGTGTCCCATGCCCTATGCCCACGTCCCCCACTTCCCCATTTCCAACACCCACCCATGCCTTTGCCCTTGCCCGGACGCTCAACGCCCCCCACGCATCCCCACACCCCCGTTTTCAATGACGACAACGACGATGCCCCCCACACATCTCCACACCCCCCGTTCTCAATGTCGCCAACGACAACGCACCCCCGCACGCCGTTCTCGATGACGATGCACCCCACGTATCCCCACACCCCCGTTCTCGATGACGATGCACGCCCGCACCCCGTTCTCGACGACGACGCACCCCACGTATCCCCACACCCCCGTTCTCGACGTCGCCAATGATGACGCATCCCCACACACCCCGTTCTCGACGTCGCCAACGATGATGCACGCCCGCACCCCATTCTCGACGACGCCCCCCACGCACGCACGCCCGCACCCTTACACCTCACCCCTACCCCCTGTCTACCCCTGGCCCCTGGTCATCAACATGTAACCCTGATCCCCCCTTGGCCCCCATCCACAGGGCTTCTACCAAGCCCAGGTCCACCAGGTCTGCAACCAAGGCCATGCAGCGGGAGCTCATGTGAGTTTGTCATTGCCAGTAGTGTACCAGTAGTCAGTAGTCATACATCATGAGTAGTAAATAGAATAAATATAAATAAATCCTTTTAAATCTCAAATAAATTAACAATCAATTAACAAACCTTGTCTGATAGTGTGGACATCCCTGTAACCAAGAAGAAACAAACCAAGGCTAAGAAGAACAAGAATATGTGAGTTACTGCCTGTATCCCTCTGTTTGCTTATGCTCATTGTCTGTAGCACCTCTGCCGACCGTGATGCAGCTGATGAAGAAGCTAGTGAGACTATGGTAGAGAATTTGACTGCGTAAGTCTTTGCTTGTCATTATTTGTGATTGTACAACTCATCTTTTCGCACCAGTACTGCTAGGACACTGTTAAACTTTGGGCTATTATAGTCTGATCAGAAGCTTGTAGAAGCGTCCTAATACACTCTAATTGCCTTGGTAACAATCACTAATGATGTTGATGCAATCAATCAATAATATGTAATGATTTGCGCTCTATTGACTCTTTGTGTCTATTACTCTAGACATGTATGGAAAATGACCATCCCAGGTTCCCACGGGTACTGTTCTGCGCGAGGCGTAAATATAGGTGTCCACTAAATCGCGTCCGAATTTGATTAGCTCCGGAGCAGCTTGGGGACATGCCAGACATCATTCTAATGGTGGCTCCATGTTTCATTTTTGCTGCTTTTGCTTCCCTGCTGAGACCGAGGCGTTCCGGTGCCTGTTCCGGCCGTCACAATGGAGGTCAACAGACCTACTAATGGGGCGCTGAACGTGGGAACGTTGCATTGACCATGGGAGTCGTGCGCTTGTAATGTATGTACAGATTGCTAAACAGTGCTTGCGCACTTTTAGCAATCCTGTCAACACCAGTCATCCCATGATGACCTGGGTCGTCCCAATGCGTGTTGGCAGTGTCTGTGGGTGGTCCCCAATGCATGGGAACCGGGCGCTTGGTATAGCGCAACTTTGTTACACATTTGTAAAACAAGTGTGCACATCATTTCAACAGACACTTCAGGAGAGTGGTGCTCCGCTTGCACCACCTGCTCGTCGAGTTGGGACTGGAGTCACCTTGGCTCCAATCACTCCGAGTATCACCACGTCTCGCATCAGGCGTGAAGAGCCAGAGGACATACCCCAGATCGCCAGCAAAGATAAAGGCAAAGGTAGAGACCTCACTAACTTGGGCTCATCAGACACAGAGGAGATAGATGAAGGAGAAGACGACGAGGCTGAGAAGTCTGATGAAGAGGGCAACAAGGAGAAAGATGCTGATGCTGGTAGCAATGGCGATGAAGATGGTGAGCCGAAGAAGACTGACGATGAGGACGACGATGAGGACGATTCCACTGAGGTGCCCATGCATGCTGACTTTGTTGAAGTGATGTGCACACTTGTTGTACAAATGTATAACAAAGTTGCGCTATACCAAGCGCCCGGTTCCCACGCATTGGGGACCACCCATAGACACTGCCAACACCCATTGGGACGACCCAGGTCATCATGGGATGACTGGTGTTGACAGCATTGCTAAAAGTGCGCAAGCACTGTTTAGCAATCTGTACATACATTACAAGCGCACGACTCCCACGGTCAATGCAACGTTCCCACGTTCATCGCCCCATTAGTAGGTCTGTTGACCTCTATTGTGACGGCCGGAACAGGCACCGGAACGCCTCGGTCTCAGCAGGGAAGCAAAAGCAGCAAAAATGAAACATGGAGCCATCATTAGAATAATGTCTGGCATGTTCCCAAGCTGCTCCGGAGCTAATCAAATTCGGACGCGATTTAGTGGACACCTATATTCACGCCTCGCGCAGAACAGTACCCGTGGGAACCTGGGATGGTCATTTTCCATACATGTCTAGAGTAATAGACACAAAGAGTCAATAGAGCGCAAATCATTACATATTATTGATTGATTGCATCAACATCATTAGTGATTGTTACCAAGGCAATTAGAGTGCATTAGGACGCTTCTACAAGCTTCTGATCAGACTATAATAGCCTATAGTTTAACAGGTTATGGGCCCTGAGCTCTAACTTGACAACACTGATTGATTGTTCCTGCATTATTGAATTGCTGCCTATTGTTATACTGGGGGTTATTGTGATTGATCTAGTGACTCATTGAGTACTGATCTCGCATTTTGGCCTATTGGAGCTATTGAAAGTCACAACAAGACTATAACATTGTTATTGATAGTCACTACAGGACTCTAAGCTGTTATTGATAGTCACTACAGGACTCTAAGCTGTTATTGATAGTCATCACAGGACTCTAAGCTGTCATTCATAGTCATCACAGGACTCTAAGCTGTTTGTTAACTGTCAGTCAAACAAGACTATAAACTGTATTGAAACACTATGTCTACTAGTTCAAGCTCAGATAATGGGGTCAAGGTGAAGCCACTGACCAACTCCAACTATCAGGAGTGGTGTGGTGAAGCCAAGGCCTATCTGATGCGACTGGGGCTGTGGAGACTAGTGTCTGGAAGGGAATCTAAACCTTCAGACAAGGCTGAGCTGACCAAATGGGAGGCAAAAGCTGAAAAGGCTGCTGGGGAGATTTACCTGTTGGTTGAGGCGGACCAAAGGATTCATTTCCGAGGTCCAGAGGATGATCCAGTGGGAATGTGGGCTGCCATAGAGAAGGCACACCTATCCAAGAAGCCCGGCGCACGCTTCAATGCTTATGACGACCTGTTCTCAATCCACAAGGAGGACAACGAAGTGTTAAACTATAGGCTATTATAGTTTGATCAGAAGCTTGTAGAAGCGTCCTAATGCACTCTAATTGCCTTGGTAACAATCACTAATGATGTGTTGATGCAATCAATCAATAATATGTAATGATTTGCGCTCTATTGACTCTTTGTGTCTATTACTCTAGACATGTAAGGAAAATGACCATCCCAGGTTCCCACAGGTACTGTTCTGCGCGAGGCGTGAATATAGGTGCCCACTAAATCGTGTCCGAATTTGATTAGCTCCGGAGCAGCTTGGGAACATGCCAGACATCATTCTAATGATGGCTCCATGTTTCATTTTCGCTCCTTTTGCTTCCCTGTGGAGACCGAGGTGTTCCGGTGCCTGTTCCGGCTGTCACAATAGAGGTCAACAGACCTACTAATGGGGCGCTGAACGTGGGAACGTTGCATTGACCGTGGGAGTCGTGCGCTTATAAAGTATGTACAGATTGCTAAACAGTGCTTGCGCACTTTTAGCAATCCTGTCAACACCAGTCATCCCATGATGACCTGGGTCGTCCCAATGGGTGTTGGCAGTGTCTATGGGTGGTCCCCAATGCGTGGGAACCGGGCGCTTGGTATAGCGCAACTTTGTTATACATTTGTACAACAAGTGTGCACATCACTTCAACACAACCCCCTGATGCAACACTTGGTGGACCCACGTATTGGGGCACCCACAAACAACCCCCTGGCCCAATACGTCCTCCTATCCCACCAATCCCATCATCTCCCTCAACTTTTCCACTTGTGGTTTGGCCAGTGCTTTGGTGAGCAGGTCTGCCGGCATTTCCTCTGTTTGAAGATAGACTGGCTGGATGCGCTTGCAATCAACTTGATCGCGTAACCAAAAGAAGCTCAAGTCCAGTTGCTTCATTCTGCCATGGTGTTCGGGGTTCTTTGCCACTCTAATCGCTGACTGGTTGTCCATGTACAGCGTGGATGGTGCAGTTGGCTTGTAACCAATTTCTGAGAGGAGGTTCTTCATCCAGCATATTTCTTTACCAGCAGCAACCCCAGCAACATACTCGGCTTCAGTGGTCGATAGAACAACCATCTGTTGCGCTTTACTGCTCCAGCAGACCGCTCCCAGCCCAATCTTAACCAAGTAACCACTTGTAGACCGCCCTGTCCCTTTATCACCACCATAGTCTGCATCACTGTATGTGACGAAGATTTCGTCTCCTATGGCGGGATCAGGTCCATATACCAACTTCATATCCATCGTGCCCTTCACATAGCGTAGCAAGTGCTTTACAGCCTTCCAGTGGATCATGCCTGGGTTCGAGTTGAACCTAGCCAGTGCACTCGCAGCAAAGGCTATATCAGGCCGGGACATTGTAGCCAAGTACAATAAGGAGCCAACAGCACTCATGTAGGGGATATCCACCATCTCTTGTGCCTCTTCATATGTTTTGGGACAGTCATCTGTGGTCAACTTCATACCCGGAGCCATGGGAGTCCCCACTGGTTTGCAATCAGACATATTAAACTGTGCTAACTTATTAACAATGTACTGACGCTGCGAGATGTAGAGTTTGTGGCTGTCCCAGTCTCGTGTTATTTCCATGCCCAGCAGATACGAAGTCTCCCCCAAGTCCCGCAACTTGAAATGCTTTTCCAGCTCAATCACAAACTTGTCCAGAGCATCCTTTGATTTCGAAGCAAGAGTGATATCATCCACCCACACTGGGACTATGATTCTGACAGTGCCATCATCATAGATGTAGAGCGAGGGGTCAGAGTAAATCTTCTTGAAGCCCATTGAATGTAGTGCTTCTCCCAGCTTCTCACTCCACAACCGAGGTGACTGCTTTAGTCCATACAGAGACTTGTTCAATTTGCAGACTATCCTTCCTTGACCCTTGGTTACACCTTGCTTAAACCCTTCAGGCTGCTCCATATACACCTCAGCATCAATATCACTGTTTATGAATGCCTGCGAAATGTCAACTGAGCGCAAGTGCAGATCATCTCTAGCAGCTAGAGCGAGCACAGTCCTGATGGTAGTGTGTCTAGATGGCGAAGCAAAGGTCTCATTATAGTCAAATCCGGGCCGTTGACTAAATCCTTTAGCAACAATCCGACCCTTGAACCGTTCAATGCTTCCGTCTGCATGATATTTGACCCGAAAGACCCATCTGACTCCAATTGCCACTTTTCCTTCTGGCAAAGGTTCCAGTGTCCAAGTCCCATTAGCAAGCAGCATGTTGTATTCAGCTAGTGCAGCCTCATGCCATTGTGCAGCGTGAGGCGACCTCATTGCCTGAGCATAAGTCTCTGGCTCTACTAGCTTGCCAACAGGACCAGCCTCCAAAGCTTCTTCTTCAGACTGAGAATCATCATCATCTAAAGCAGGAGTTGGATCTCGCATTTCCCAAACGTCCGGAGTAGCCTCCCTGGCCTTTGGAGGTGCAGCAGGAACCTTCCACCATTCCCCTGGAGGTCTGATGTCGCGTTTTGGTCTTCTTACAGCCACAGGTCTATCATCGACTTCAGCTTCATCATCACTGTCATCCACACAAGGTGCAGCTCTTCTGCGACGAGGACGAGGTGGGGGAGTCTCCTCTGGCTCTGGTGTCTCATTATCATCCTGTTGCGCTTCACCCTCCACCTGTTCTTCTTCTTTCACATTATCGTCAGTGTCATCCTCACTGCTATTGTCCTCATCGTCATTATCAACTGCAGGCAAGTCGATGACCCTTTGCTGAGCATTGTCTTTCGCCTTGGATGGTGCCTCTGGTGCGCTCTGCTGACTGGTTTTCGGAGGGACTGGTTTGGAGAGATCGTGCTCATCAATGCCTTTGAGAAGTTGGCCACTGTAAGTGTAGCGCTCATCAAAGTCTGCGCGTTCACAGATGATGACCTTCTTCGTCTTTGGATTGTAGAACTTCCAACCCTTGTACCCATCAGGATACCCAATGAATATGCACTTCTCCATGTGCGAACCCAAATGCTCCCTCTTGTCCTTCTGGACATGCACATAAGCAACACATCCCCATACCCGCAAATGCCCAACATCAGGTTTTCGTCTATGCCACACCTCATATGGCGTAGCATGAGCTACTGAAGACGTGATGCATCGGTTCAAGACATGAACAAGTGCAGCCAAACACTCAGCCCAAAAGGCCTTTGACAATCCAGCCTCATCCAGCATTGCAGTGATCCGTTCACTAAGCAGTCTGTTTGCACGCTCAGCCACTCCATTCTGCTGTGGTCTGTTTCGCACTGAGAACTGCCTTTCTATCCCATGCTCCTCCAAATACTTGTCAAACTCCTTGCTCATGAATTCACCACCCTGGTCGCATCTGAAGACTTTGATATGTTTGCCAGTCTGGTTCTCAGCCCATGCTTTGAACCGCTTAAAGGCAGCAAAGACTTCGCTCTTCAGCTTCAGGGGAACCACCACCTTCAGCTTGGAGTAGTCATCAATGAATGTGACCCAATACTTCTGACCAGAGTGAGAATCAATTCCGATGTAGTGAACATCAGAGTGTACCAATGCCAACAGCTCATCAGCTCTGTTGGCTGACGAAGGAAATGGATTTGCATGCATCTTCCCAGTTAGACAGGGAATACAAACGGGATCTGGCTTTGCAGAAGAGTCCAGTGTCAATCCAACCACCATTTCATCCTTAATCATCTGCTTAATTCCGTCATGGTGTTGGTGGCCAAGCCGTCTATGCCATAGAGTCAGATCCAAAGGCAGAGTGGACGCAACATGAACAAATTCATTTGTGTCTATTGTACTACCATCTAAATAGCCTATACC